TCTCTCTCTCTCTCTCTCTCTCTCCATCCATCCATCCATCCATCCATCCATATATATATATATATAGATATAGGAGAGAAGGTCATTTATTTACTTTAAACTAAAGCTAAACAATTTTTTTCCCCTTCTTGCTAAGATTTTTGGACAACTCTCCCTCACTTTTTACATTCAAGTCACAGCACTGCTCACTTGACTAAATCACAATAAAACTTAAAAATTATAAGAAGTGCGCATTCATTTCATCCATCAACTTCATCTTCATACATCAGAAATACTGATTAGCAAATGCAGACAAAATAGCTACAAAGTTCTCAACGATAATAAAAGCTGTTTACAGTAAATTACTACTTATACCAAGCAAGCAGAGATGCCAAATAAATTACCAAAGGGTCAAGCATATAAATTGAGTAACTCTACAAACTAAATTCGGGCGAGACAATAGAAAGATCAATTAAAAGTAGCACGGAAAAGGCATCACAGCACTGAGTAGTCGGTTACCTCAATAGCTTTACTAGGAGCAACTCGAATGACATTAACAAGATTGCCACGAAACAATCCCTTCCACCCATCGTTCTGCAAAATATTCTGGAAAACCTCAGTTGTTGAATTCCCACTGCAACCAACCATAAGATGTGTTCTAATTGTCTCCAGCGGAGCAACTGCTGTTCTTGAAACAGCCCCAGCAAAAGCACCGCTGAACAACCTCCTAAACGACGGATTCCCAATCCTAATCTTCAACTTTCCTTTAAGCCTCTTCTCAGCTTTCTTAATGCAATCTTCCTCCATCACCCCAGCAGCCGCTACCACAGTCTCCGACGGAACCCGACGCAGGAACTCTGAGGAGACATACTTCACATACAGATCCGTTGATTCCGCCACACTGTTGTCTCTAGGATTTGGAGAGGTAGGTGAAATTCCAAACCCAACTCCCATCTGCCCCACACTAGCAAACAAGCCCCCAGGAGGATAGAAGTCCAGTTGAAAGTTCCATGAAAGCCCTAAATCAGGAATAGACGGAAGTCCATCCTTCTTGTTCTCGAACAATGGTAATCCCTTTCTTCCCATCATTTTAGGGCCTTACCCGTACCTATAGTCTCACACCAATCACCACCAGCATCCACATTTCACCAAAAATTCAGAGGACAGCAAATTTCCCGGGTGAAGATCGCAAACGAAGGGTTTCGCGCAGAGATTAAATATGGCTGAAAATTCCTTGAGGGCGGCGAGGAGAACAAACAACGATATGAAGGAAGATGGGGTTCGACGCAACAACAACAATCAGCGATAAGAATGAGAAACGGAGATTAAGACGAGGCGAACAACCAAAAACTCGATGAAGAAAAATATATGACAGAAGACAGAGAGAAGCGGGAAGGGAATATTATCCCCTGTGCTCCTTCCCTCCCCTCCCCTCCCCTCACGCTTCGATCCAAAAGTTAGGGTTCTATTTGAAGGGTTGACACGGTGCAGGAAAAAATAAAAATGAAATAAAATAAAACGTTTTATGAATATTACTCGCCACTCATTCCAAGCAATTATTATTATTATTATTATTATTATTATTATATATATGTGCGCGCGCGCGCGCTAGAAGATTGACAGCAGTAGAGTGATAATTTACTGTCTTAGGATTGCATTGAGATCCAACACATACAAAAAATATTAAAAAATAGCAGGAGAAGACACCATAATTTTTTATATGAAAAAACTGGAAAAAAAAATAAAATCACGGGGCCTAACACACTAGTGTAAATCTTTTATTGATTGTAAATATATAGGTTCACACTTTTGGAGAAGATAGAATCACATTTATAATTATAAATGTATAATAGTCATCTAGTTTTAATAGTCATAATTGGACTACAACAAAGTTAGTTCTTAGCGATAAGATAGTGGGTCCAAATGCTTCAATTGATTGTTACAAAGACCATTTTTGTCATAGAGACTATATTCGGTGTTTGCAATAGTGGCAGTTAGTCGTGGAGGCCATAGTTAGAAATTATAGTATAAGTTGCTCATATAGATCATGGTTGGTCACATAAGTTGTGATTGATAATTGTAGTAGCAGTTGTGATAACATCAGTTGATCATAGAGGTAGCAGTCGGAAGCTACATAAGCAATTAACTACATAGACTTTAATTTGTCACATAGGTCGTGTTTGGTAGTAGTAGTAGTAAGTTGCTCATATAGATCATGGTTGGTCACATAAGTTGTGATTGATAATTGTAGTAGCAGTTGTGATAACATCAGTTGATCATAGAGGTAGCAGTCGAAAGCTACATAAGCAATTAACTACATAAACTTTAATTTGTCACATAGGTCGTGTTTGGCAGTAGTAGTAGCAGTTAGTCATATAGGTCATATAGGTCATAGTTGGAAGCTGTAACAACAATCGTGGTTTGTCACATCGATCATGATTGATATCTATGGTAGTAGCTAGCCACATAGGTCCTAATTGGAAGTTGTAGTAGCAGTTAGATAAAATTTTAGTTGGTAATATAGGCCACAATTTGTAGTTTCATTAGCAGTTATGCACATAGGTCATAGGCGGTCGTTGCAATAGCGACAATTGGCCACAAAGGTCGTTGTTAGAAGTTGTAATATCATTGGTCGGCCACATAGGTCGCAGTCGAAGTCTATAGTGGTGTCAATTGGCCACAGAGTTCGTTGCAAGAAGTTATAGTAGTGACTGGTCATATAGGTAGTAGTCAGTCAGAAAAGTTGCAATAGCGACAATTGGCCACAAAGGTCGTTGTTGGAAGTTGTAATATCATTGGTCAGCCACATAGGTCGCAGTCGAAGCCTATAGTGGTGTCAAATGGCCACAGAGTTCGTTGCAAGAAGTTATAGTAGTAACTGGTCATATAGGTAGTAGTCAGTCAGATAATTCATATGTGACAATTAAAAGTAGTGGTTAGACACATATGATTTATTAACGC